GACCTGATTTATAACAAGTCAAGATGTTAGAGGTTTCCTTAAGATTTATTATACTCGCAGGTTCGAGTCCCTGACGCCTTGTTTTTTATTTTTAAACCTCTTCTACTTTCTCTCCATTTTGCTCTTTGGGAATGTTTTAGTTTTAATTTTTTTTCCTATCATACTACATTTCTTTTAATTTTATTTTACATTTTTTTTTCAATTCAAAATATTTATCTTTTTACTTTTTTGAATATTGACATGCTATTTACATTTTCCGTTTACTACAATGATAGTAAAGTTTTAACTTAACATAACTATTTATTTATTCTTTGGTCTAGTACAAATATGCCAAAACTTCTTGTTAATATTTGAAATATGTGACTGTTACTTTAATTATATGTGTATAATTAAATTTATGTAATACATTTGCATAAATAAAACAATTAATATCATTTTAAAAAATAAATAACCTAGAAGTAACGTTGAATTGAAAAGAGAAAAACAATATTATTACTATATATTTTAATTTGTTGGTAAGTTAGTAACTTACATATATATGTTTTAATTTATCTTCCTCTATTTATTTAGCTATGTTTCTATTTAAACCTTGATATTTAAAATGAGCGCTGATGGAGTATATGACCCAGGAACCCCCGGCCCACAGACTCCTACTTCTCTAACACAGGCCCAAATGCAGCGGCCCATGTCCAGAGAAGCCCAAAATACACACTGGGGTGCCTTCGGCCTCAGCTCCTTGGTCGAAGACTCCAGAATACACAGGACAGCCAGATTTGAGCATACGAAGCTACTGGGAGAAAACGGCGTAAAAACAGTAGCCCTCGGCTAACAGGAGCCCTCGGCTAACAGGAGCCCTCGGCTATACCATGTAGCCTTCGGCACACATGGCGCCTTCGGCTACAAAGCACCCTTGGCCGAAGGGGGAGCCTTCGGCCAACAACTCAATCATCGAAGATTCCCTTTGGAGACAAGCAACCACCGCATTTAATGCGACGTCACATCCACCCAGCGCATTCAATGTGGTGCACATGCGAATGCCAGTGCCACTCGATTGAGGTGACCCCTCGGCCGTTAGATTATCGCCACGTGTACTCTCATCGCATTTATTACTATTATAAATAGCACCCCCTTTTCCCATTGTAAAGGATCCCAGACCAGAACATCTCGAGTTCATTAATACAATCGCCTCTCTCTCCTACTTGTTTGCTCTGACTTCTCTCTAGGTTATTCTCATAATAACCCCCCGGATAAGCTACCCCCCGGGTACACTGTCCATCAAGCGCATTAAATCGAAATTTAAACAAAACTTTAAAATAAAATGACAAGCATATTAATCGAAATAAACTCTCTTGTTAAGAAAAAGTCTATTATTTTGTTTAGGAACTAAAAACAAGTATAAATGGAAATATACGTAATTGTATATGTATATGTAAATGTATGTGTGCGCTTGTGTGTGTATTTTATAGGTCCAAATAAAGAGTCACTTCATCAAAATGAAAATACTTCTTATGCATTCAATTTGAGATCAAATTACTCTAAATACATCAAAAAATGGTAGAGATTATACATCTTTCCAACTTGATGATTTGAATTTTTTTAGCACCCCCTCAAATTTTGTTCTGGTTCCACCACTGGTTGTGAGAGGTTTGCAAATTGTTTGGGAGAGAGGATACCGTCGTGTACGAGTGCAGCTAGATTCGAGTGTTGCAGTTCATCTACTATTGAGTGATGGTGAGCTCACACACCAACACTCTTCTAAGGTCGCCAATTTTCGTGAGATGTTGGACCGAGACTGGATGATCAAAGTTGAGCATATATATCAAGAGAACAACCGGACTGCCGATTTCTTGGCTGGTCTAGGCCATAGTTACCTTTTGGTGTTCACTTTATATGTATTGATGATCCTACTTTATCATTACACATTTTGTATGATTTGTTAGGGGTTTCTTAGCCTCGGTTGATTGTGAATGAATGATGGGCGCCGATGCGCCTATGGTTTTACCAAAAAAGAACATAAAATCGTAAAGCCAATAAATAGTCATCAAAATTTTTACTTCCTCCGTTATTTAAATTTGTGTCTAAGTTGAACCAATATATGGAATAATAAAGTAAAAAATTGTGTAATGACAAAAAAATGATAATAATGCTATAAGAGATGAAGTCATGGAGAGAGTAGGTATAAGGTTAATGAAAACATTTTTTGGTGAGTGTTACGTACCTCACAAATGTGGATGAACCTGGTTCTGTCCGGTCCCGATTCCAAGCCAAGACCTTCCTATCAAAAAACAAATTGTTTCGACCCCGGGTTGACCCGCTATTTTTTGGCTTTGGGCCGATTCTTGATACCCAGTCGGTACGGCTCAGGTACTTAGACTGAAGCAGGTATATTTTTTTCGTTTTTACTCGGTTTTAATCTTTAGAAAAATTTGGCTAGTTCGGGATCGAAACCAGGATTCGAAAGTCGAAAACGTCCAATTCAGTCCCCAAATAGGTGAATGGGATCGCAAGGCGAAAAAGGTTGAGCCCAGGTCAGAAATCTGAAATTCTATATTTGGTCAGATCCTAAATAGTACTAGACCCAGTTCTAAACACGGTCCACCCCTACTCACCAACTAGTAATCGTACCATACCTGAAATACATTTGATTCACCCAAATCATTATATTTTTTCCACTTTTTTCCTAAAACATCAAATAATGTGGTTAAGTGGGACATATGACGTCGTTTGGCAATTGATGGTATATTTACCAGAAATGGCGACACGATGACACCATTGGATATGAGTTAAATGGCCATTTATTTCCACATTAAAACCGATAGGAATTTCTTCAGCACAGATTTGCCAGATCGAAACTCCTTCTACCACCCCTAGCCTTTTAATGTATTTCTTCAGCACAGATTTAATAGATTGTGGAATACAAGAAGCATCGAGCTCAAGAGTCGTTATTAGCACGAACTTAATGGTTGCAGAGACGGCCATTTTTTCAATTTCATTCAGAAAGTCAGGCTGGCTCTTGCCTGAGCACGTAGATGGCCTGGGTAATAACTTCCTTTAATTTGTACTCCTGTATTAATTGTGTGTTTGCATTTATTTATTTTATCCTTTAAAAACACTTTGAGAAATGCTACTATTACCAAACTACATGTGATCATCCAATCAAAAATTCACTACAAAAAAAATACCGGATTTTGGCAGGAACATGCCAAATTTGTGTCATTAGCAGTTTGGCACGAGCTGTTTGACACGAAATCATCGATAATTTCATGCCAAATTCGTGTCAATTCTGAATTTTTTATAGTGAAATTTCTTTGAATGATCAAAATATTGAATTTTAGAATACGGGTAGAAAATAGATGTAAAAATCAAATGGAATGGATACCAAACGGAACATCGCAGTGAACATTAATATTCTCCCCTCTACAAAACACATAGAGGCCGTTTGGCAACATGTTTTAAGCTTATCAGTCATCTTTTTCACCAAACACGTAACTTTTGCTTTCGTGTGCTGAATTGTGTAACAAGCGGAAAAAGTAAGGTTGAAGTTACTTTTCTGGCTGTATTGGCTGAAGATACTGTAGATAACCATTTTAGCTATTTTTACACATAATTTTTTCTTTATTTTATTAATAAAATATATTTTAAAAATAATTTATTCTTAAATCAGCAAAATCAGCCAATGCAGCCAATGCAACCAATGCAGCCAGAACTTCATAAATTTCAGCAGAATCAGCCAAAACAGCCGATTTTCGTGCTACCAAACGGGCCCATAATCTTTATTTTATTATTCCATATACGATAGTAGAAGTTAGGTTTGGTAAAATTTCATGAAATAAATGAAAATTTAATTTATCAATCCTGACATCAAAATAAAGTAACTTTTGAATTAACGCTCTCAATGATATAGCATTCAAAATCAGTAAGATTGGAGTTTTCTTTGCTGAACTAGCTAAAATTACTATAAATGGCCATGTTAGCTATTTTCATATGATCTTTTCTTTATTTTATTAATAAACTATATTTTACATGTAATTCCTCCATAATTCAATAGATTTAGTCATTCCAACTATTTCAATCAAAATTTTATCTATTTGTGCAGATTCAACCGAATCAAGTTAATTATTGTGCTAACAAATGAGCTCCTGATGTGTATTGTCTAGACAATAATTTTCGTGTCACAAGTATATTCAAGGGTGCACAAATCGCTAATTGTTTTTTTGTGCACATATCAATGTTTGGTTTCGTAGCAAAATAGCAATTAACATGTTTTTTTGGGTTGTCTTTAAATAAAGGTTATGTTTCCCATTTTAGCAAATCGTATTACCTTCATCCTCAAAGATTGTTACAGCAATGGGTGGTACGATTATTGGTCTATAAAAGTAGAATTACGTAATTTATATAAAAAATGTGAACACAATACTACAAAATAATAATTAGAATCACACAAATATCAGTAAATACGGAGTATGCCAAATTGATAAATTTAATGGATGAACGAAAAAGAAAGTTGAAGCATAGCCTTTTCATTTCAAGTTCATATGCTTTTACTTGGAGTAAATGGTTTGGTTCTCGAAATTGCACAAAAGGGTTAAATAAGTCCTTATATAGAAGATTATGTTCGCACGTGCCATTAAAGGTGGCTCCCGGTAGAATTTTTGGATGAAATTTTTTGAGCATCTTATTCATTAAGTCTAGTTTACTCATACTTAAATTTATTACGTAGTACTATTATTCATAAATATTTTCTTTAAATTTAAATAAATAACAAACAATTACTCCGTATGTAGTACGGGACTAAAAGTAGTATACACAGAAATTATGATACTTAAATGATTTCCTGGTAATTATAATTACTCCAATTATTTGTAATTTCACGATTGTTAAAGGGCCAAAGGGGCGTAAAAAGCTCGAGTATCGCCAATTAGGGTTTCGATTAGGCTTACGCGGGTATGTGTATATATAAAGGCCACAACATATGCGTACAAATCATACACGCAGACAAACAGAGATATACGCTTCGTTTAGGGTTTTGAGGGTTGTGGGGCTGAACAATTGTTGTTCAATGGCGGTGGAAGTGACGAGAATGAGAGGTACGGTGGAGATGTTCAGTGACCAGAGGGGGTATGGATTCATCAAGCCGGATACAGAAGGCGAGCCGCTGTTCGTGCATCATACTGCGATCAAAGCAGAGGGCTACCGGACCCTGCACAAAGGGCAGACCGTGGAATATGAGGTGGTCAAGAATGGGGACAGGTTTCAAGCTGTTGATGTGACTGGGCCTGATGGAGCTCCGATTGAGGAACCCCGATCTAAAGGCAGCGACCGTGCCGGTTCCGGAAACGGTGGTGGTGATGGTTACAATCGGAGGAATGGGAATGATTTTGGAAGCGGTGGTTGTTATAATTGTGGAAAGGCGGGGCATTTAGCCAGGGATTGTGAGCAGATCAGTGGAGAAGGGGGAGGCGATCGCTTTAGTCGGAGGAGCGGGAATGGGTATGGAGGCGGTGGTGGTGGAGGTGGGCCCTGCTATACATGTGGGCTAACTGGACATTTAGCTAGGGATTGCGAGCAAAACAGTGGAGGTGGTAGTGATGGTTCTAATCGGAGGAATGGCTATGGTGGTGGAGGTGCAGGAGGTGGTGGGTGTTATGCGTGTGGGCGGACTGGACATTTAGCTAGGGATTGCGAGCGGAGCAGCCGAGGTGGGGGTGATGAGTATAATACCAGGAGGAATGTGAATGATTATAGAGGTGGAGGAGGAGGAGGAGGAGGGGAGTGTTATACTTGTGGCCAGATTGGTCATTTAGCTAAGGAGTGTGACCTGACTAGAGGCGGCAGCAGAGGAGGTGGAGGTGGAGGTGGAGGTGCTTGCTACACTTGTGGTGGGCAAGGTCACTTGGCTAGGGATTGTGTAAGTGGAGGTGGGGGTGGCAGTCGTGGAAGTGGTGGTGGGAATTGCTTCAACTGTGGAAAACCAGGCCACCGGGCTCGGGACTGCCCTGGCAGTGGTGGTGAAAGTGTTGCAAGGTTTCGGGGTGGTGGCACCACCAATAGTTGCTACAACTGCGGCGAATCAGGTCACTTTGCTAGAGACTGCTCTCAAAAGACTAGTTTTGTCTAGTCATCCCAGTCCTATCATTCTTAACATAATTTTTAGATTGTTCCTCCACCCTTTTTGTTTCTCTTAAACATAGGGTTACTTGCTTTCATGGATATTCTCTTTGATATACTTCGTAAATCGGTTTTCAGGGTATTTATATATTTATTATGGTATCTGATGGCTCAGCATATGTTTTGTGAAGAAGTCTTATTTCATAGACTGATTGAGTTCAAAGCTTTATTGACATAGTTTGTTCTGTAATGTTTTTGTGTTTTATCATGTGTGTAACTTAATTGATTACGTCAAGTACACCATACTGCTGCAGAGGTTATTAAACAGGAAGGAGTACCTCCTATTTGGTGAACAATAAACATTTAATTGAGAGAAGTTGGAATATTTAAAACAAGATCATACTCCAATATTTACATAGAAATTGAGTTGAATTCCCTCTTTGAACAAGGATCATATAGTTTGGGTTGTTAATGGAGCTGGATTTGGTTATCAAGCATATATTTTTATTTTTTAGAAATTTAAGAAAGTATGTGTTCATCAAGACAGCTTGATTGCATGCATCTAATGAACCTTAAAAAGTAATATAATATAATGGACTGAAGTGTAATTCTTAATTGTAATGACTTAGAATCATGTACTGAAACCGACTCTGAAGACTGAAATAAGTTTTCAGTGCACTGAAACTGACTTTAAAGACTGAAATATGTTTTATGAACTCGTTAAATGTCATCCATTTTGTGGCTTGGTGGAAGTGAGTTCTTTTCTCAGGTGATTTCAATTTTAAAAAGTTGGGGTAAAGAACCTTAAACTATAACTTTGAGCTTATTAAAAGTTTTTTATCCCCCTATTATGGTTTTGCTACATGCTCTGTTGTGAGTTGAAAGTCTTGAAGTATGAAGTGTGCTAAAAACCAAGGATTGTTTAGCAAGATGGACACAGATGGGCATCTATTGTGTAGTTGGGTTGGGATTTTGTTCCTCTAATGAGTAGTTCCTTCATATATTCAAATTTTCACCTACTTCAAATATCATTAATGGTTTTGTCTGTTAAACTCTATTTTTTCTGTTAATGGAGGGTTTGGAGGGGATTGCCAGAAGGGTTTGGATGGTTAGTGTATATCATTATAAATAGAATGTTTCTACAAAAAAGAATGGTGATTGAAATGGTACATGATCACATATTATGCTAAGTGCTCAGTTTTTGTAAACTATATGTCTATATGAATTACATCTGATGCAGACTTGCAGAGTAAGATTAAAGATTAGATCATTGACACTCTTCTGAATGATTGGTGTTCTTCATTTTTCTATTTCAACTAGAACACTCTATTTGAAGTGGAGATTTACTGTCTTTTATACGTCGTATCAATGATGACTTTAACATTTGGACTCTCATGTGGCTTATGTACATACTCCCTTTTGTTTAAAAGCGTTGGAAGGACTTGAGTTACTGTTCACTATGGAGTCGTGGACCTGTGGCTACTGACTATGGAAGAATGTATCATGTTAACAAAATGTAAACTTTTTTGTGTTGTATGATGGAGGTGTTGTGCATGACTAATTACAACACCTAGAGGTTTGACACTTTAAATTATAGAGGTTTAATGTGCTGAATTTAAAGCCTTATATACTCAAATTTTCAGACTTCAAGCATCATTCATGGTTTTGTCTACGGTTAAACTATAATGGGTCTGTTAATGGAGGGTTTGGAGGGAATTGACCCTTCTGTCAATCACATGGTTTTGTCTACGGTTAAACTATAATGGGTCTGTTAATGGAGGGTTTGGAGGGAATTGACCCTTCTGTCAATCATATGACCGCACATACTGAAAGATTGCCAATTCCATAACTCCATAAGTACTTGGCCAAAAACTTAATCACCGTATTGCATTCACTGTTCATCCCCACAAATCTAGAAAAGATTGCAATTCCAAAGGCCATTAAAACGTTGTTCGTAAAACAATAATAATAAGCGAGCTCAATGAACTCGAGACTATTACACATCTGGCTATACTGTGAACATCGTACAGCAGCCGCCCAACAAACCAGGAAAGTAACGGGTGACATTTTTGTAATTAATGTGAAAATCGCGGTTTCTGCTAAATGAGCATTAGTGTACTGTTAATGAGCAATAGTCCAATTTTAATGAGGATCGTGTTAGTACAAGAAAGGTGATATCACAACTAAAAAACGGTGACATTTTTGTAACATTAGTGAAAATCACGGTTTTCGTTAGATGAACATTAATACACTTTTAATGAGCATCAGACGTATTCTATTGAGCATTAGGAGTCGAATAATGAGTATTGTGATATCAATTTCTTATATTGTAATTCACCTTCTAAAATATAACATCGTTTACTTTATTTTTTAAATTCACTAAGTCTAGTTTACGCATACCCAATTTCAGCTAAAAATTCAATCTCGAAGGCAGTCAAATGAATTTTTGAAGACAATTGCGCAGTTAAACAACGCAGTATATTTCAAAAAATCATTTGACTGTCTTTCTGATTGAATTCTTATTTGAAATTTAGTATGAGTAAACTAGACTTAGTAAAGAAGATGCTCAAAAAATTTCATCAAAAAATTCTATCGGGAACCGCCCAAATGACGATGGCCGATTGAAGCCTCCTATATAAGAGGTGATTTGCACTTTTTAAATTAGTTCGACGGCCTATCCTTTAACGAAATGTAAAGAACCACTATTGAAACTAGAACGCTGCTAAAACATGTTGTAACAATGTGAGTATTCATATGCACTATCTATATTAATGCCTAACGCACCAAACCTCCATATTCCTTGATACTCCGTAATATGTGACTTATGTGTATATACCAAATTCACTAAAACTCTACCATATGAAACAAGAATGATCAAAATAATACTTTTTAGAGAAAACTGTCAAATATGCCCCCGTACTATATCAAATAAGTCAATTAAGCCCTCCAACTAAAAAAACATCCAATTAGACCCATGAACTTCATAAAAATAGTCAAATGTGTAATTTTGCTCCTAAACAGCCGGTTAGCCGGTCAGTATACTTATGTGGCCAGCCACGTATCCCATTTCACTGTTTTGCGTTCCTTTTCATTTTTTTCCTTCCGATCGATGCTTCCGTATTTCTTCCGCCGGCCCCAGTCACCATCTCCGGATCTTGCCCTTTCTCTCTTTCTTTCTTTCTTCAATCCTTCCACCCCAGGGCCTGAGTGTTGCACCCCCTCCTCTCTTTGTCCGTATTTTTCCTTCCCCGTTCTTCATTGGCTCGTAAGTTGCAAATGACTTGGTAATTGCCTCCATTTCCTTCCTCACTTATATTTATCCGTTCCCTGCAAGAAAAATTATTACCCAAAAAAGCCCAAGAAGATATTGGCAATTTAGCAGTGTTCAGCAAGTCGGTGGCGAAGTGTCCGGGGCCCTTCAAAGCCCCCACAGCCCACGAGAGTTTCCCTCCGCCCTGAAGGACGATTTCTTGGCCAAAAAATTCACGCCCACCAACTCAGGTCCCGTCAACATCAACCTCGGCAACTCCGGCGTCGTCACCATTAACCTCGGCGACTCCGGCGTCCTGGGGTACTTTTCTGGTAATCAAAACCGACTTCTTCATTACTCGTTTCCGAAATCTCTCGTTCAGTCTTGATCTGGTCGTCAATGAATAACGATTTATTAACCATTGCAGATCTTGGACCTTGATTTACCGATGACCTAACATGAAGCTTGTTCTGTCTGTTTCAACTTTCAAGGACGAAGAAAGGAGGGGGTGGACCAACGTGTGGAAGAAGAAAGAAACAAGGGGAGGTGATGTGGGATCGGTGGAGGACAAGGTTGTCAAAATCGTAAATTTTGATCGAATCGGTGGAAGGTTTTAAAAATCGAATCGTAAAATCGAATCGCAAATCGTAAGATTTTAAGAAATATAAGTAAATAAATATCTAAAATGTATGAGACAACAAATTAACATTAATATGTCAACTGGATGTCCATGCTCCCAACCAGGATCTTCTCTACTTCCATATGCATTTTTTTCTTTTCTTTGTATCAGACATATCTCAGAAACTAAAGAAGATGAAAACATCTTATAAGTTTACTTTATCAATTAATAATTTACTTATATAATCAATGTTAAACACTTAAATAGATGAGATGTGAAAAAATAAAGAAACACATCAAACATAAAATCTAAGAGTATAGATTCATTGAACAAAAAATATTGTAAATAAAAAAGAACTTTTTAGAAAGAACTTATTAAAGAAGCATGATAGAATAAGGCAATCAAAAGCTCCATCCATGTGCTCATATAATAATATACTCCTAATAGAGAAGGAAGAACACTCAATAAATTTTACATAAGTAATATATTAATATATAAAGTTAATAATAAAATAATCTACAAATTTTTAGAGAAAATTCGAGCACCATGCCACCATCTTGATGACAAAACTATATAATACTCCGTATAACAAATTATATATGGCTTTCAAGGATTAAAAGTAATTTCAACAGGATTAAAACATCTAATACATAATTTTGAAGTAAATCTTGTGCCAAATGCGGAGAATGTATTACAGAGATACAATTGCAATAATAAATCTCTTTTCTTGGAAGCAGAGGCCTGATTCCAGAAGAAAAATAGCGGAGACCTCTCTTCCTTAAGCTCCTTCCCTTGTGCGGTTGTGCCGTTGTGACTTGTGAGTTATTAGGTCTGGTTTAGCCGTTTAGAAAAAGGAAGAAGAAGGGTTAGGGGGTTAGACATTTGAGGAGTTAACTTTTACGAAGTACGAGTACTGTAATATTTAGGGGGATTTTGGGATTTGCGCTTCACGCACGCGGGACGGCGGGTTATTAGGGTTTTATTTTCTTTTTTTCATTAAAATTTTTTCAAATTGCAGCCATGTACAAAATCGTACGAATCGCACCAACTCGCGATTTTGAACGATTTTAAACGATCCAGATTACGATTTCATACGATTTTAATAAAATCCGATTTATTTAACGATTTGGATCGATCTTTTGATATAAAATCGTAAAATCGTACGATTTTACGATTTGAATCTAGATTTTGACAACCTTGGTGGAGGAAAGAAAGAATTGAAGTAGCGTAATAGAAAAAGGAAAAATAAAGGAAAAGGCAAAACAGTGAAACCAATCACATGGCCGGCCACGTAAACATAATAACCGGCTGACTGGTTGTTAAGAGGTTAAATTACACATTTGACTGTTTTTATAAAGTTCAGGGGTCTAATTGGG